GACTGCTGCGGGGGAGGTGGAGGGGAAAGAACTAAATAAAAAGGGATCAAAGATTAAACGTGGCTCTGTGTAAAAACAGCCTCTCCCAACCAAGCAGATGGGCAGGAGTTGCTCAGCCTGGGGAGCGAAGTTTATAGGAAGCCTCCCCGCGGCAGCTCAGCCCAGCCCCGTACCTGCATTGCCGAGCTGTTTGTAGAACCGATATTCCAGGTGCAGCTGAGGGGCCCGGGATTTTATGGGTTCCTGGAAGGAGAGAAGGAGAACGGTTAAGGCCGTTGTAGGGAGCAGACCAAGCAGATGGGCAGGAGTTGCTCAGCCTGGGGAGCGAAGTTTATAGGAAGCCTCCCCGCGGCAGCTCAGCCCAGCCCCGTACCTGCATTGCCGAGCTGTTTGTAGAACCGATATTCCAGGTGCAGCTGAGGGGCCCGGGATTTTATGGGTTCCTGGAAGGAGAGAAGGAGAACGGTTAAGGCCGTTGTAGGGAGCAGGGTGTGATAGGGAGGTCTGGGTGTCAGGCACCTCCTTCACATGCTGGCAGCAGCTGGACTGAAACCGTTTAGGGTTGAGAAAAATTGGTGTAAAATGGAGATGAGAGAAAACCAGCCCATATGGGAGCCAGATCCACCCGCTCCAGAGAGAACTGGGTGCTGGGGCAGGCATTAATGGGAGCAGGTATCAGTGGGGACCACCCTCTCCCAGGGGTTTTTTTGCTGCTGCCACCGGCTGAGCACAGGGAGGTCCTGGAGAAGGACAGACCCACACATCCATCGCCCATTGCATCCCGCTGGGCTCGACCCCTCCAGCAGCCCAGGGAGGGAAACCATCTCCTTCCCATGTGGCCTGAACATCCCAAACTACAGAGGGACTCACCAATTTGATAGCTACGTATTCGTTCGTGTAGAGGTTCTTTCCTGCAGGGAGAGACATGGAAAAGGCAATTGAAAGCAAGTGAGCCTTTACATTCACCCCACATCACACCGCCGCAGTCCCCGTGGGCTCCTGGGCCGCAGAACATCTCAAACAAAAAACACATAAACAGGCCTTGAGGCGTGAGCAGGAGCTGGAACCCACTGTGGGGAGTTGCAACACGCCTGGTAATTACGCCCAGATGAGGTACGCAGGTTCCTCTGGGATAGGCAGAGCCACATCTGCTGGGAAGGGGCAGTGTCCCAGTCCAGGCCTGCCAGGGACGTGACTGGCCATGGCTGGGGTTTGCTGTTTCTTCCAGCACAGAGGGGCTGCCCTGCTCTGGGAGGGCTGCCCACAGACGGAGGATGCTGCTTTGAGGGCGGTGGGAACATGCGGAGGGTGGCAGGGAGGAAGCATCCCCAGGGGCACCGGGGCACCTTGAGGTACTGCAGCTGGCAGAGGTAAGGGGCCAGCTCTGCCCCAGGGCTGGGTCACTCACGGGGATGGCACAGGCGCATGCGTGTGTGTACGTGTGTGTGTGTACACGTGTGCAGCTCAACTGCATTCCTCGGGATGCTCCCATCCACCCAAGGGCACAGGGGAAGCCAGGAGCAGACCCAAGGCCCAGGCTGCATGAGAGGGAGCTGAAGGTACTGATGCCTGTGTGGAGGGACAGACAATTGCCCCCAGGAGAGCTGAAAGGGCACCTGTGGCACCCCAAAGCCCTGTAAGTGACTTCCCAGAGAGCTCAGCACCTTCACAGGAGCTTTCACACCCATAACCACAGAGAAGTTGAACTAACTGTCTGAACATCACCCTGCTCACCCCACAGGGCCAGGAATCATCAGTACCACCTCTGCTCCAGCTCTGTAAAGGCAAAGATTAAAGAGGTTTGCAGAAACACCCCAGTGCCCCTTCTGCCCTCTAGGACACCGGGGAGACGGGAGTTAATGGCAGCAGGTCCCCTTCCCAGGCATGCAGAGCCAGCAGACACGCGATCCCGCCTGGCATGTGTGGATCTGTGAGGGCTGCATCTGTCTCCTCGGATTTTCTCCAAGCAATTTGCTCAGGGAAACAAGCTCCTCCTGGCATAAGATTTCATCTGCTCCGACTGCTGCTCTCCACCTGAAGCAGCAATAAATCCTTGCCGGGTGACATCAGAGCCAGCTGCTGAGCGCCGGAGTCGGCGGCAGGATTACAGGAAGAGGGATGAATGGGAGATATTAATGGAGCAGCTCCTCCCAGGGACGAGCTCTGCAGCCAAGGAGGGGCTCAATCCTGCCGCCGCGCTGACCTTATCCCATCCCGAGGGACTGCAGCCAAGCCACTTCGTCTCCTGTCTCTGCAAAACCAAATCCCTTCCCAGCGATTACGAAGTAGCTGATTAAGGAGGGAGAAACGTCTGGCGCGCACCAGCGTACGACCAGGGATTTTGGTCCATCCTGGACCAACATTTCTTGTGGAGGAGGTGGGACATCCCCCAGCCCCCTGCACAGCTCCAGGGAGTTCAAGGAAACCCTCAGTTCGTGGGGAACCCAACTGGGGCAGGGATGAACCAAAATCCCAATGGAGCCCAGTGCAGCCCCCATCACGAGCACAGGCACCTTCCAGTGACTTAACAGGGAGAGGAGGCAGCAAGCGGGCAGGAAGGAGACACAGGGGCAGGGAGGAGACGCGCGTGCAGGCAGCTCAGCTTCCACACACCGGGACCTCTGTGTTTTGGAAACAATCGCAAGTGAGAGCAAAACAGCCCCATGCAACGGCCGGGACGCAGGGACTGGCATGGCCCAGGCAGGTGACAATGGCACAGGGTCCCCGTGCACTCCCCAGTCTCAGGGCCATATGGTTGAGTCCATAAAAATCATTGCTGGTAACAGGTGACCAGAAAACTTCCTGCTGGGTTTTCCCTGAGGTTGGCTGGGTCTGAGGAGGGGAACAAATAAAAAACCCAGGGTGGGATACCTGCCAGAGAGGCAAAACCGGCTCAGCACAGCAAGGAGGGAGAAGGGAAGGAGGCAGAGTGGTGCTTGGAGGGCCACCCCGTCCCTGTTACGTGGCTTCTGTCCTGTCCCCACCATGCTGGCCTCCCCATGGCTCACTAGCACTGAGAGCTGCCCACAGAAACACTCTGGGAGCTGGGAGCCCTTGTCCAGGCCAATGAATGAGTCCAAATCGTTTGATAACCCTGTGGCTTATCCCTTCCTTGGACAAAGCTGCTGGAGAAGATGGGGGAGCAAAGAGAGCACAGACCACGGCTGCTGTAACCACCACCATCCTCTTCTCCTTCCTCAGTAAAAAAAAGGTGCAAAGAGCAGAGCCTGCCTAGCATTAGGATAAATAGGAAAGAAAAAAATGAAAGAGCAAGGATGAAGGGATGGATTGGAATCCATGGACTGTCCCGGAAGAACTCAAGCTGGCAGCGCTGCAGGATTCACAGAAGAAAAGGTACTTTTGAAAGAAAAAAAAAAAAAAGAAAAGCAGCAAGATGGGCAGCAGAAAGCAAATATTTGTGTTTGCAGAGAGGCCTTTGGCTCAGTACTGGCAGCGCCTCCAAATCCAGCTGCCAGCACCTGCAAGAGGCAGTGTGTCTCATCAGAGCCGAGCTAAAGCCACCGCTCTGAGGAGGTGGCCATACCCGAGGTCCAATCGCATTTAAAAGTCGGACTTGGCTTTCCCTTAACCCTGTGCTGACACCCAAATCGCCCCCCTCCTGATGGCGGATTTGGCAGCAGTGGGGTCTGGCACCTGCTCCTGCACATCACGGTGAGCCAGGCTCTGCGCTGGGCTCCAAACTGGGTCCCCATGGGTGGCTCCCTCTGTGCCAGCCCCTTGGGCACAGCACCACACTGAGTAGGGTCTCTGCCTATGGTCTTGACTGCAGCAGCAGCACAGAGCCGTGCCTGGGTGCTGGCACCGGCAGTTTGGCTTCTCCGGTCCCCGGGCGATGCAGCCGAGGGGTGCGACAGGAGGCAGCTCTGTGTGAAGGCAGCTGGGCACCAGCCCAGCACTGCAGGCACCACAGCTCTGGGGACACAAGCTGCATCAGCCCAAGCCATGACAGTTCCTTGGAGCATTGGGGTAAAATGCCATTGGAAAAATAGCAACCAAAAAAGTTATTCTAGAGTTTGACCTTCCTCTATAGGAGGGACCAAGAGGAAAACCAAGCACGAGCTGTTAGCGAGGGAGGCAGGAGGAGCAGGCAGCGCGAGGGCTCTGCTCTCCCACAGCCTCCTCCAGCGTGGTGGGTCCACGGCCCCGAAGCGACCCCTAGAGGTGGCCGAGCCCTTCACCAGACGTGTAGGGGTACAGGGGTCTCTGTGGAGCTGAGGACAGAAGGGTCAGGCGCAGTCTGCTGGCCCCAGCCCGCCTCTTCTGAAGGGACCTTTTGAGACCCCTGAGAAGCCACCCCCTGTGTGTACCTGGGAGGCTGCAGGCCAGGGGTGACAGTACAGGTCAAGAGAGCTTGGGAATGTCCCCAGCACTCGCACGTGACCATTCAGCTGGGACATGGCCCCAGCCCAGCTCTAGTGACTCCACCACACAGGGACCCACCTCTCCCTGTTTTCCTCCCTCCAAAATGCTGGGTTTACTTTTCACACAGAAATTAATTTCCAGCTTTGAACTCAGAAGTAAAACAGTCGCCGTGTTTCCATGCTGGCATCAGAAATGAACGCACCAGGCTGGGGAGAGGGGCAAGCACAGGAAAGCCGCAAAAAGCTCATTTGCCAAAATTTCTTGCAGGAAGAACAGAAGCAGGCACCTTTGCCAGGTCCCTGTCTCTCCCGTGACCCCTCTCCTGGGCTGAAACTGCCCCAGGGCACAGCTGTGCCAGGGCACCAGCCTTGGGAAGGGGCTGTCCAGGAGCCCCCGCCACAGGGCCAGCTCCCTTCCCTGTAACACTGCCTCTGCCAGCCCCTCCTGGCAGGGAAATGTCTCCAGCAGCCCCAGGCCGATGCAGTTTGTCCATGCCAAGGCAGCCCGGCAGGACAAACAGCTACTCCCGACTCCAAAGCACGGCTCCATGACACCCGGCCCCAAGGAAGGGGGCATGCATCCCACTCAGGTGTTTTGGGCTCATTTTTGACCTTTCTGGTTAACATCTGGGGTTTTCTTCTCCCCCATCCGAGCCCACCCCAAAGGAGCTGCTCTGAGGAACCCTTGCTGTGAGCTGTCCATGCTGGCCTTGCTCCTGGGTGCATGGGGAGCTGGCAGAGGGCCGCAGGCTCCCGCTGCTCAGCCATAGCCCGGTGCCAGCCTCCACAAGCCACTGGCCACCCCCGCTGCCACCAGCTTCCTCCCTCCCACCTTGCGTTTGAGAGGGCAGTGCCCAGCCCTGGCATGGAGGCACTGGAGCAGGCAGCAGAGCAGTGGTGCTGCCCAGGCAAAGGGCTGGGGCAGACATCCCACTCCAGCTCCCAGTAAGGAACTGGCTGGCAGTGCCGTCTGACTGGGACGGGGACTGGCACTACATTGGGCACTGCCCAGGGTGCCAAGGCCAGCACAAACACAGAGAGGCGGGATCCAAGCGTGACTCTGGCTGCCAGAAACTCCTGCCCAAGTTGTTCCCCCTCTGGCTTCCAACAAATCCCTTGTGCCAATTCTAAAAAAATGATTATTTTTTTTTAAATCGCTTCTGATTTTGGACACCTGGAAGGACACTTGTCCCCATCTGGGGCAGCTGAGCTGAGGCTCCCAGGACAGAGCGGTACCCACCTCTTGGCACAGTGGTGAAATTGGGCAAAGTGGTACCCGTTTCAGGAAGACAACTTCAGCTTCCTCCATCCCCCACGGCTGGGAGCTGGAGGAGTCACCTCCAAGCATGTTTTTGCAAGATCCCCTGGGTTTTTTTATTAAAGGAAAAAGTCCAAAGAATATTTCGGAGCTTATAAACACAGAGCTACACTTTCTGCTCTGCAACAACCCTGCCTTGAGGACTGAAACCTCATTCCCAGGGGAAAACGGAGCATCCCGTCAGCGCTGGGGAGCATCCCTGCTCAGGCCACCACTTCCAGTGGGATCCCTCTGGTCCCTTGCCATTTATTTGCAGCTGGAGGAATCCTTAATTTCTGTGAAGTCCTGAAAGCATTCCTGAGCCCTGATGCAGCTCAGAGGCACACCTAAGGAAGAGGGATGCGATGTTAGGAGAAAAGCCACATAGCTGTGGCTTCCACCGCTGAGATGAGATCCTGTGCTCAGGCCGTTACCACATTATGGCCAGGCACTACAGGGTGCAACAGGGCAGGAAAACAGCGCGAAGGGACAAAAGCTTCTCTTGCTGGTGGCAAGGACAAACTCTCGCAGCGAGAATCGACCACTGCAGAGCCCCAGAGCCAGAGCTTGACCCTTTGGCCACGCACAAACCCAGCCCCACCTCTCCCAGGCCCCTGCAGCGGCTCCGCTCTGAGCAACCCACGCTGCCCATTTCACAGACACTTCTCAGATCCACGTCCACCTCGGTGCTGCCCCAAAAAACTGAGGGGGAGGCAAGGTAGGGGGCCACGCAGACCCCCAGCGCTGAGTATGCCAAAGCACCAGCCCTGGCCCCAGCTCTTTTAGCCTTCTGTCCAGAGCAGGATCTTGGAAGATGACTCATCCAGAAACATGTACCCACAACAGGACACGGGGGTCAAGCAGTGAAAAGGAGGTGGAAGGACGGAGGTAAACCCTGCACAGCTCAGAGCCCTCCATCTACACCTGCCCAGCCCTGTAGGGAGGCACCGGCAGCCGGCGCTGCAGCATCCCTGGGGTGTCCAGAGCCACCTGGGGAGGAAAAGGAGGAGCTGGTGCAGCAAAAGCCCTCAAGACCTCTCCTTCCAGAACACCTGGGTCTGGAGGAGTGCTCTGAGCTCGTCACGACACTGGGAGAGACAGACCCTCTGCTGCTGAGCACGGGAGCCATTCACCTGGATTTTAAAAACAGCATTATCCCAAGCTCTGCAATTAAGCGGCGATGCCATTGGGGAGTTCAGGCACAGGAGGCTTTAGGCTGGCACCAGCCAGTCTGGGATGCTGGGAAGAGCCAACATTAACTCCCCACAGACAGTGGCACAGCGAGGTGAGCAAACTCACCCCACCCTCCACACCGAGGCCACTCCTCCCCACAGCCTCCCACCTCCTGCTCCGTTTGCATGCAAACAGCCTGCCTGGATGACCACATTCACTGCGGGTTTAACTCTGAGCTAAAGGGTGTGAAAAGACACTGCTTAAAATATCACAGAGCAACAAAACCTATGGCTGTCAGAGGCTCCCAGCCTGCTCCAGGACAAGCCCTTTCCCAAAGCACTTGCAGCCAAGGCCAATGCTCCATCAACCGGCATTC